GTGTGGGGGATCATGGGGAGAACAGTGTAGCACAGAGAAGGTACATAGTGGATCTGTGGCATCTTGCTGCACTGATGGACAGTGATTGCATTGGGGTATGGGTGGGGACTTGATAATATGGGTAAATGTAGTAACCACATTGTTTTTTCATGTGAGACCTTCATAAGAGTGTATATCAATCATACCTTAATAAAAAATTTTTTTAAAAACTAGGCATAATTATGACTGTTTAAAAACCATGGGGTTTTTTGGCTCTTAATTGTCATTTATCCTCTCAAGTTGTGGGTTCCATAAAATCTTCTATGGGATACTAACATCAATATTTTATAAAATGTATACATGAATTTAGCTAATAAATTACTTATTAGTTCATTCAGCTATTAGTATTAACTATTGGTATTTTTAGTAGTAGAGTGCTCTATCTACTCATGTCTTCCTTTATTTTACCAGAAGTTGTTTTGTGTTATAAATCTCTGTCCTAACTTAAATTTCTATGTACTTGTGATACAACTGGTGAAAAGACACTTCTTTTATCCTAAAAAGATACTTCTTTTATCCTATTTCCTGTATAATCGCTAGTAAAGAGAAATGGGGCCGATTTTGTGAATTCACCTTATAGCTTGCTGTTTGGCTAAACAAACTGACTACTTCTAGTAGTTTTTTAATGAGATTCTCTAGATTTTCTAGGTAAGTAGTTGTGTCCTCAATAAAATACTTTTTAAGAGGAGTGACTTTTCTGCATAATATTTCTACAAATTTTTTCCAACTGAACTCTTGGTTTTATATATATGTGTACACATACACACACACACACATATTCCTGTCAAGTTAAAAAATTTGCTTTCTAAAACTAGTATTTTAAGCATGTTCATCTAAAACAGATTTTGGAATTTACTGAATGGCTTCTCAACAGCTATGGAAATAGTGAAATAGTTTCAGTATTTTTGTTGCTGAAGTTTTAGCTTGATAAATTTTCTTGGTAACAGCCTCAATTTCCCAGGCTAATTCACTGTCACCTATAGTGGATCATTCTTTCCTAGTATCAGAATGTTTTCCAGGGCCATATTTATTGTTTTTAATAAGGTAAATTGGTCCTAAAATTTTTTTTGTGTTGTATTTTTGTATTTGTGTGTGAAAACCCTATTTGCACATTAAATGAATTAAAAACCATATTGTCACTTGATATTGTACAGCTATTATATATCCTATAACGCCTGTTTTCAAATATTTGGAATAAATAGGATAGATTTTTAATGCAATATCAACTTCTATCTGCTTAGTCTCATGGAGACAAAATGTAATTCTCAGAGAAATTAGATTTTGTGGACCATTTTTTAAAAACTGTCTGTAACCCTTCATTATCTTACAGATAGATATCATCTATTTGCGTCTTATATTCTCTTTGAGCCAATACTCCAAATTATTCTTGGCATGTGTTTGCATATTATCAATGAAATTGTAGTTTTTTAAATACCACCCTGCATATTTCAATACCTAAGTTTCATCTTTTTTTGGCATTGTTTTTTACTTTCCCTTTTCACTTGCATTGTTTTTGAAATAAACCCTAAATGATTTCCCTTTACACAAAATCAAAGGTTATCTCAGACAGCTGACCTGTCTGTCTCGTGTTCAGTGTGATCTTCACAGTGAGTCTCAGGGGTGCCAGGGAGCCCAAGATTCTGGTCAAAATGGGATCTTGTAGAGACAGTCCTACACCATCACGTTTCAGAGGCCATGGCAGACCCTCTTTTCATGCAGGGGCAAGTTCCCTTGTGTGAGTGGACTTTTACACAGACCAGGTGCTAGATCAGGGAATTCTGGGCAGGAAGCCATGGATTCCATTCCGGGGGAGGAAACTGACAGAAACAGCATGGGAGCTCAGGTGCCCAGCTGACCAAACTGGGGTCCACAGCATGGCCCTTGTTCAAGCGGATGTGAGGAGCAGGGTCTCACAGACAAGGCTCGCCAAGTAGACTTGCCACCCAGCTTGTGGATTATAGGTAAATTTAGTCTACACTTGTACCTGGACACCCGATCCCAGCTATGCAGTTTGCTCCTCCTAGGGCAACACAGGGAAGAGGCTTTGGGATCAGGCCAACCTTGATCTGTGTCTCCACTTACCAGTTATGAGGAGAAAAAATTACTTAACCTTACTTTCCTCAACTACAAATGAAGATAAATATAGTACACACCAACATGGTTCCTTTACAGATTAAAAAGAGAGAAAGTTAGAGAAAATGGATGTAAAAGCACCTGAGACATAAAGAGCCCAGTGAATCTTAGTTAACATGGTTATTATATCCATACAGTGAATGGGAAGGGGTAATAAACTCTGCTTCCAGCCTGGGCTTTCCTTGGTTCTGGATCTGGAGAGAATTGATATTCCACTGACCTGAGCAAGGCTGATCAAGAGCAGCAGGAACAGACACTGTTCTCTTAATCAAAGACATTCGAGAGGGTCCTCACTGCAGAGCATGCCTTTGTGTCCAGCTCACTGCTTGCCCAGTTCTTTATATGTACTAGGCACTCAGTTATCAAAGACAGAGAAAAAAACACCAACAGTTAATGCTCTGCTCAGAAAACCACTGTTTTCTTCTCCCACATTTGCCAAATTTCTCCCGCTTTCATTTAAATCAAAGGATTTTGTTTCCAGAAACTTTTTACCTTAGCTTTTTTCTGACTCTTTTTCTCAGTATAGTTCCTCACCTAGTCCTTCACAGACGATTACACACATCTTTAGGTCTGCTGGTTTTAAGATGAACAGAAATCAGCAAAACCAAAAAAAAAAAGCACATGCATCCGACCCTGACTTGTTCTCCCAGCCCAGCAACTGCCTCCTGCTTTGCTGTTTGAATAACCTCTGGGTGTCTGATCCACCCCCACAGCTCAAGTTTGAACTTAGAACAAATATTTGTCCCATTTTTGGACAATGTTTGAGAGATTTCTTCTTCTCTTTTCTTCTTTTTAAAAACGAACTGTGCTCTTCTGCTGGTCCTTTGAACTTGGTTTGGTGAGGAGTGGACTTCTCCTGCACCAGAGGACTTGGCAAAGCCACCCAGCAAAATGAAACAACTCACGTGCTTTCTCATCTGGCTCTTTGTTTCTGAAGCACGAGCCTTCGAAATCCCCACCAGTGGACTTCCAGAAGTAAGTACTTCCAGAAGACCCCTTGCTGTTGGTCTATACCTATGCTCAGTAAGTAGCCTGTTGCTCTTCAAGGACTGTATCCTGTGTGGAATGGAAAGTTATGATACGATTCACCTGAGTAGAAGTGTTCACTGTTATACTTGCTGGAACATGTATTTACCTTTTAAAGCATTAATGGGTTTTGCATAAGAATAGAGTTAAATTCAATGGGCTATCCCTAGAGTATAGCATTTATGGAGCACAGCTGCCCACTTCTTATCTAAAAAATGGAGATAACAATTAATCTACCCCAAAGGATGTGATGAGGATTAAATGACATATGTAAACTACCTAACAGAGTGCACACACTAGGGAGCACTTAATATTTAATAGCTAAGATGATGATGATGAAGACATATCATGATCACTCTTGTACTAAGAGTGTAAGAAAAGTCATTACCAAAGTGCCATTGCTTTTCATGACTAAGTGAACGACTTCTCTAGTAAAGGCACGTTAGGTATTCCTGTTAAAGGGGACATGGCAAGTGGCTGGCAGAGTACAGGAATTATTCCCAGGGGCTCAAGCTTCCCACTGTGCACTCCCAACATGAGGAAAATCTTGGACTGAGTCATTTTGAAAGTCATTACAAGAGCTATTTTGATGCCAGAAAAGCAACACGTGTTATGGGAATATCCTAGGAAATGAAACGGCTTATAATATCTGAAAAGCAGGTTACCTATAAAAATGCCAAAGATGGCATATATATTTGCAGGAAAAAAATCACTCTGTCTGCTTAGAAACTATCATATTTGCCAACACTTTAAAAACCACCAGAGTCTGTTAGAAATCTCATTGACAGAGCCAGGAATTAAAGCCAAGACATCCCAACGTGTTTGTGCTTTTTCAGTCATTTCTTACTGGTATTCATTTCTTACCGGTATTCATTTCTTACCAACATGTTTAACTCAAGGAGATGTATAGTTTACATTTACCCAGTCAGACTCTGCTGATGCCCCCAAGATCTGCCCAGTACCTTCCCCAGGTACCTACCTGATCACTGGGTTACTGTACCCCCACCTGTAAGCCCAATCACCTGGTGAACTCAGAAATGAATTCCTGCATCCAACACATTTGAAGATACTAACTTCCATTTACTCAATAGCTAGCAAACATAAATATATTAGATGTATAAGAAAAGGGATTTCCCAAAGGTATAGGAAACATCGTAAAAATAATATAATGAATACTCTTATATCTGTCACCAGCTGCGTCTTCTGCTCTAGATCTTTTTTGTTCATAGTAATAAGCATCCTAAACTCTCTTAAGTTTGCAGAATATGGAGATCTTGTGGAACTGGCCCCAGGCAAATTCCAGTTTGTGCCAGAGAACCGGAGGTATCAGGTACAGTAAGCCTCAGCCCCCAAAGGGAAAGGAGTGACAGTGTTCATGACTGAAGCAGTAGCAGAGGATTAAGATGCTTTTTGCTAGATTTTCTCAAGAGCGTGTTTTTCAGCAGAGAAGAGTCCAGCGGTTTGATACCCAGGTGGAGCCACCATCAAGGAGAAGTGAAGTGAGACCTCCACAGAGCGGTCCATTAGCCCCCAAACCATAATGGGCACCTTAGTCCCTTGCAGGGTAAACATCTATGTGCTTTCTTCAAACCTTAAGATGATGGGATGGCTTTACTGCCTTATGAAGAATTTCCTCTCAGGAGGGCATTTTCTTGCTGAGCCACACATTCTCCCTCCTGGAGCTGCTACTGCCTTGGGGAGTAGCTCCAGAGCGAGGGGGCCCTGGAGCTGCCAACAGCAGTACAAACAAAGTCCTCTGGTTCATGGGGTGGGTTCCCTAGGAGGCCAAGGGGCAGGCTTCTCCCACACAGAGCTCCCAGGTAGAAGGAGGGGGTTTGTGTGTGGAAGCAGAGCTAAACTGGCCAACGACTTATTTTGTATGGGTGTGAATATTTAACTCTCCAGAAGTCTGGGTGTTTTGTAGACCAATAGTATTAGAATGAAACAGGCAAGTCCTCATGTCAAGGCCTCTGTGCCACAGCAAGAAACCTTAGTTATTGAGAATTGCACTCAAAAAGCCTAAAAGAAGGCAACCGTTGGCTTCACTATGTCACATAACACCCCCTCTACAACCTCAGCTACCCCAGGTCAGGCAAACTAAAGTGATACCCAACACCTGACTTGTTCTTTTAAAGGCCATCATCATTAAGTGGTCACCCATCACTCTGAAGCCATGCAGCCTTCAATGCCCAGAGGACAGTGCTCCAAGTGGAAGATTCCTAACATAGCCATCAGAGTACAGAATTTTCCACATGCTTGGAAAACGTCCCCTTGCTTGGCTCCAGGGCTATCCCAAGGAGGGAACACATTGAAATCCCTACTCTCATGCAGCAAGTCTAACAGAGGAGACCTGAAAATGCTTAGGGAAGGAAGCTTATCTGGTTTGGGCTGGGGGGTCTGAGCTTTGCTGAGAAAATTCTGCCCGAGCTGAGATGTGGAGGTTGAGGAGGAGTTAGTTACATGGAGGTAGGCGACAGAGGGGACCTGGACAGTGGGAAGGCATGTCCAGAGCCCTGTGGTACAATGGTGCATCCAGGTACCCACCCAACTAAATAAAAAATAGACCAGACAGATAGACAAGTTAAGGCCATACACTCATTCAAAAATATTTGTTTTAGTATTATGTTTAAGAGTGACGTGCGTGCAACCAAAAAGTGGCTGAGAAATTTGTTCAGAGAAACCCACCAACAGGAAAATAGTATTCAAGAATATTTGATGTTTATGTCTCTGCTCCAATAAATGAATTGCAGCTCAGTTTGAAGACATTTTTTTTCTTTTTGATTGAGAGAAAGCACTTTTTGCCCTCAAGGTAACAAGTAACACCTTTTGAAGAATGATTATCTAACTTCTTTTCACAGAGAAGTGTTTCTGAAGAATCCGGAGAAATAGTGGTAAGTTTACTTTGGTTTTGTTAAAAATTGATGCCTGAATGATTTTTCTGTTGCCTGTTATCGAGAAATCAATGTGGTTGCCTCCTTTGTCTGTACCACAGAGAACATTTACCTGACTTTCGAAATTCCCTCTTGCCCAATTCTGTTTGGACATGTGTCTAGAATTCAGCATGAAAGAGGACAGTGTATATGCAGCCATATATCCTGTCACCAAGAGCTGAAAATGCCCTTTCTCTTTATTTTCTCAAGTTTTGCCAGCAACATACATTTCAAACATGTGTATTTATTCCAACGTAACAGTTTTTATTTCAAATATAACACTAAAGAGCCCTGGAGGGCATAAGAGAGTGCGGGAAAGAAACTCTTCAACATGAAACAGACTGATTCCCAGAAATGTCCAAAGTAGACTTTCCTATGGCGACAAAACATCAAAAGGAAGTGGTTTACACTTTGTTTTTCTTGTGAAAGCTTTATAGGAATGTGTATCAATGATACCTTAGTAAAATTAAAAAAAAGTTTTAAAAAAGGAAGTGTCCCCACCTGTAAGCCCAATCACCTGGTGAACTCAGAAATGAATTCCTGCATCCAACACATTTGAAGATACTAACTTCCATTTACTCAATAGCTAGCAAACATAAATATATTAGATGTATAAGAAAAGGGATTTCCCAAAGGTATAGGAAACATCGTAAAAATAATATAATGAATACTCTTATATCTGTCACCAGCTGCGTCTTCTGCTCTAGATCTTTTTTGTTCATAGTAATAAGCATCCTAAACTCTCTTAAGTTTGCAGAATATGGAGATCTTGTGGAACTGGCCCCAGGCAAATTCCAGTTTGTGCCAGAGAACCGGAGGTATCAGGTACAGTAAGCCTCAGCCCCCAAAGGGAAAGGAGTGACAGTGTTCATGACTGAAACAGTAGCAGAGGATTAAGATGCTTTTTGCTAGATTTTCTCAAGAGCGTGTTTTTCAGCAGAGAAGAGTCCAGCTGTTTGATACCCAGGTGGAGCCACCACCAAGGAGAAGTGAAGTGAGACCTCCACAGAGCGGTCCATTAGCCCCCAAACCATAATGGGCACCTTAGTCCCTTGCAGGGTAAACATCTATGTGCTTTCTTCAAACCTTAAGATGATGGGATGGCTTTACTGCCTTATGAAGAATTTCCTCTCAGGAGGGCATTTTCTTGCTGAGCCACACATTCTCCCTCCTGGAGCTGCTACTGCCTTGGGGAGTAGCTCCAGAGCGAGGGGGCCCTGGAGCTGCCAACAGCAGTACAAACAAAGTCCTCTGGTTCATGGGGTGGGTTCCCTAGGAGGCCAAGGGGCAGGCTTCTCCCACACAGAGCTCCCAGGTAGAAGGAGGGGGTTTGTGTGTGGAAGCAGAGCTAAACTGGCCAACGACTTATTTTGTATGGGTGTGAATATTTAACTCTCCAGAAGTCTGGGTGTTTTGTAGACCAATAGTATTAGAATGAAACAGGCAAGTCCTCATGTCAAGGCCTCTGTGCCACAGCAAGAAACCTTAGTTATTGAGAATTGCACTCAAAAAGCCTAAAAGAAGGCAACCGTTGGCTTCACTATGTCACATAACACCCCCTCTACAACCTCAGCTACCCCAGGTCAGGCAAACTAAAGTGATACCCAACACCTGACTTGTTCTTTTAAAGGCCATCATCATTAAGTGGTCACCCATCACTCTGAAGCCATGCAGCCTTCAATGCCCAGAGGACAGTGCTCCAAGTGGAAGATTCCTAACATAGCCATCAGAGTACAGAATTTTCCACATGCTTGGAAAACGTCCCCTTGCTTGGCTCCAGGGCTATCCCAAGGAGGGAACACATTGAAATCCCTACTCTCATGCAGCAAGTCTAACAGAGGAGACCTGAAAATGCTTAGGGAAGGAAGCTTATCTGGTTTGGGCTGGGGGGTCTGAGCTTTGCTGAGAAAATTCTGCCCGAGCTGAGATGTGGAGGTTGAGGAGGAGTTAGTTACATGGAGGTAGGCGACAGAGGGGACCTGGACAGTGGGAAGGCATGTCCAGAGCCCTGTGGTACAATGGTGCATCCAGGTACCCACCCAACTAAATAAAAAATAGACCAGACAGATAGACAAGTTAAGGCCATACACTCATTCAAAAATATTTGTTTTAGTATTATGTTTAAGAGTGACGTGCGTGCAACCAAAAAGTGGCTGAGAAATTTGTTCAGAGAAACCCACCAACAGGAAAATAGTATTCAAGAATATTTGATGTTTATGTCTCTGCTCCAATAAATGAATTGCAGCTCAGTTTGAAGACATTTTTTTTCTTTTTGATTGAGAGAAAGCACTTTTTGCCCTCAAGGTAACAAGTAACACCTTTTGAAGAATGATTATCTAACTTCTTTTCACAGAGAAGTGTTTCTGAAGAATCCGGAGAAATAGTGGTAAGTTTACTTTGGTTTTGTTAAAAATTGATGCCTGAATGATTTTTCTGTTGCCTGTTATCGAGAAATCAATGTGGTTGCCTCCTTTGTCTGTACCACAGAGAACATTTACCTGACTTTCGAAATTCCCTCTTGCCCAATTCTGTTTGGACATGTGTCTAGAATTCAGCATGAAAGAGGACAGTGTATATGCAGCCATATATCCTGTCACCAAGAGCTGAAAATGCCCTTTCTCTTTATTTTCTCAAGTTTTGCCAGCAACATACATTTCAAACATGTGTATTTATTCCAACGTAACAGTTTTTATTTCAAATATAACACTAAAGAGCCCTGGAGGGCGTAAGAGAGTGCGGGAAAGAAACTCTTCAACATGAAACAGACTGATTCCCAGAAATGTCCAAAGTAGACTTTCCTATGGCGACAAAACATCAAAAGGAAGTGGTTTACACTTTGTTTTTCTTGTGAAAGCTTTATAGGAATGTGTATCAATGATACCTTAGTAAAATTAAAAAAAAGTTTTAAAAAAGGAAGTGGTTCACATTGGCTCCCTGCTCTGAGCTGACAGAAGCCATGGGAAGCACACATTTAAGGGACAGGGAGGGCAAATAACTTAGCCTGAGTTTTAGCTTAGCTTGTGGTGAGCTGGATGGTAGTGGGCTGAAAGGTTTAATCTTGGATGACAGTGTTTGGGGGATGACTCCTAGTATTGAAATAAGCAAATCTTTTGGAGTAAAAAGTAAATTCTAAAGGGTCCCATAATCACCACAGTCCTGAAGACACTTGCAGTTCTTGGGTCTCTCCTGAAAGATGGGTGTTTTTAGTACTTTGCCATGGAACATACTGAAATACTGGCATTTTCTGCACTTGACCTGTGTTAAATCAGTAAAGAAGGATTGGCAAAGGAGGTCCAGAGTGCTGGACCAAAACCTGGGTCAAAATGATATTTTCTTTTCATGTTCTGTTTGTTGCTCAATGTCCATCAGTGCTCTCAGATTTTGTCTTAATTTAGGGAAGGGAAAGAGGACTGGGTGAAGATGAAACTGTAATAGATAAGACACAAGAAGGTAGATTGCAGTAGGGGAGCCACATGTGCACTTCTGCCCCCCTGCACCCCTGGCCAACCCCACTCTGAAGTTACAGCCAAGGCCTCTTGGTAACCCTGCAAGGCTGTGTCCTGTCCCTTGCTGGGCTCTGCATTTGAAGTTACTTCCTAAACCTTCTTGATCCAATCTTGCTTCCCATAACCATTTTCTGTGTGTATTCTAATTTAACGAGTCATTCTTAATAGACTCAGAGCTGAAAGGCATCTCAAGGTATCTCAAAACATAGGCAGACGTCCGCCTGGAGTTTGTATTCCATGTTAGAAGAATGCTCAATAATACCTGAGTTATATGCTTAACAATGTCTTAGAACTGTTCACCATAAAATCTACTGCTCTTAATATCAGATACCTAGTGAAGTTGCATGTAGTGTTTCTGAGTGAGTACAGCTATGTTTTCTCATTACAGGAAGATGTTGATCAAGTGACTCTTTATAGCTATAAAGTGCAGTCCACTATCACTTCTCGCATGGCCAGCACCGTCATCCAGGCCAGAGTGGTGAACAACTCCCCACAGTCTCAGAGCGCCGTGTTTGATGTTCAGATTCCCAAAGGAGCTTTCATCTCCAACTTCTCCATGTGAGTAACTCCTATGTACAGCCAGACACTGGAAATGCTCTACTCACAGAGTCAAATCCCCTCATCGTTCCTTACTGGCCAACTATTTCAATGGTTCTCACTCTCAATGGACCCACTGGATGTCAAGAGTCATTGTAGGGTGGGTCCCGGTAATCTGTTTCTGTTCAAAGTATCAGAATTTGTGGTACTAATTTTCATTTCTGATAAATTTAAGCAACCTGAAGCTTTCTCTCCAGGGACAACCTCCTACTTGCATTTTAATGTGCTTTCTTGAAGGGAGGGACATATATGGAGCTGCCCTGGCTTGCAGGAAACCATAGATGAGGGCGCATAGAGCAGTTCAGTACCATCTGTCATGTATTTCTCTATTAAAAAAAGAAAAACTGCTGATTAACTCCAATCATCTGTCCAGTGACTTCCTCCTTTATGCCACTGCAAGTGGATTATTCAGGCCTGACTTGAATATCTCCTTAATGATAAATTCACTACTTCCCATGGCAATCCACTCAATGGGTAATGGGTCTGTTAGAATTACCTCTTACACTTAATTTCAAATTTGTTCCATTTTCTACCCGATGACTCTAGTTCCACTTACAATTTTTTTTAAATTCTCTACAAAGTACATACAGAAGTGTTCAAGGATGAAATCATATGCTGAGACTGGCTTCCAAATAACTGAGGAGGATAGAGCAGCAGTATAGAACTGAGAATGGCTGAATATTGATGATGGTATAGCTCAGTAATGGTTTTGTGGGGGTTTCTTATATTATTCCCTCTATTTTTTGTATGTTTTGAGATTTTCGTAATAAAAAGTAATGCTTCTAAACTACTCCAGTGCCTTTCACATAGTGAAAGTCATTTATTTTGTCCCACCTGGTGGCTTCATTTATCAAAGTTAAACATTCTCTGTTTCTCTAAGTGATTGGATGGCTCTCTATCCCCTGACCAGTTAGGTGGCCCTCACCAGAGTGTGCTCCACTTGCTCAACGTCCTTCTCACGTTACCCAGAATGGGGCACAGGGCTTTCACTCAATCTGGATATTTTTTATTAAGACAGTAGATTGAGTTACTTCTTAGCTGCTTTTGTCTTCCATACACCAAGGCAATCAATGAAAATTGTGAGTAAATGAAATAAAGTGTTCATATACAATGCACCATGGCTTCTAGAACCTGCAGAGCCATGTTAACTACACTTTTTAAACAGAACAAAGTCAGTGGAATCTATTTTAATAAATTATTGTTTTATTTCACACAGAGTTTATTCTGGGTATCTCTTCTTTCCGTTTTCCTTTACTCTTTCCTTTCTTTTCCATCTCATTCCATAGCAGATTTGAGGAACTGAAAGACGGAATTATAAAACATTTATTTTTGTCACTCTCTACTACTCAGTGCTGAATTTATGAGACCAGAGAAGACAGCTGCTGATCTGTATAACTGAACATTAGTTATAAATCCAGTCAAAATGTTTCTTCTGCCTTTTTATTAAGGTTCCAAATATTTTGCCATTAGAGATTATTTTGTTTTGTCGTAAAGACTTCTTGATCTTTGAACCTGAGTAAGATTTGATGGAAATAGTGCTGACCTAGACACATGGGGTCTAGTTCTAACTTGTCTCTGATCAGCTGTGTGATATGGAGGAGGTCGCTATCTCATTGACTCTAATTTTTCTCATCTGAAAAGGCAAACCTAAAAGTGTGCCTGGACAGGCATGCTCTTGGCATTTGAGATAGGAAATTATCCTCACACTGCAGAGTGTCTAGCCTGTTGGTGCCCTCCCATGAAGCCAGTAGCACATCTCACTGCAGAACAACCAAAAACTCCTCCACGCATGCCGACATACTGCCACGGTGATAGCTACTATCCCCCTGAGCACCCTACCGTTCCATTTTAATTCTGTCATTTGACTGCTCTGACCATGATTACTTGGTACAGATTAGATGACAGCAGCTACAGGGAAGGCAGATAGAGGTGGAGATACAAAGAGAGGAGAGAGGCCCCTGGGAGGTGTTGAGGTGGTAGACACGGACTCTTCCTTCATCCTTTCTTACTTCCCTTACACTCTCCTGAGTGTGATGCCCCCAGGCTATCAGCAGAATGATTTTATAAAACAAATGCAAGCCAAAGAACTAGTGGTGTATCAATTCTTCTCCAAGGCACATTTGTAATTCAAAAAGGACACCCCAAAATAAGAAGGCTTGATCTGAAGGGTAAAACTTGAAAACGGGGACAAATTTTAAACACAAGCAGTAGTACACAAGGGAAAGCTTTTAGGATGGGAGCCTACATGTCCCTCTGAAATCACACAATCAGATAAACATCTATGAAGTAGGCAAATGTCTCTCTTTTAGTTTCTTCCAAGTGCAAAATGATCATTGACCCTTTTCACTAATCCACTGGGTTGGGTTGTTTGTCCGCTTTGTTAAGACTACTATTGAGAACAACTGGTGGCCTCCTGTCATTTTCTAGGACTGTAGACGGCACGACTTTCATGAGTTCCATCAAGGAGAAGACTGTGGGCCGAGCTCTCTACTCACAGGCGAGAGCAAAAGGCAAGACTGCTGGCTTGGTGAGGTAAGGGCTGGGCCAGCTCCTGCTCTCGCCCAGACTGCTGCTTCCACCCAGTCCCATCCGCACGTGGCAAACCAGCCTCCAGGAAGGCTCAGAGCCTTGTGGTCAGAGGTAGAATTAGGTATCCCCCTTTCTGTTTCTCAAAGTCCTTTCCACAACCTATGAGCATTGGATGATCTCAACCTAGGTTCTTCCTCCATAGCTTGCCTTGCATACAGTAGATGTTCTGTAACTAAATGATTTCCTGAGAGTGCAGAGAGCAACTACACAAATACAGTGATCTCGTTACAGTGCTTGCCGTGTACAGAGTGAAAGGTTTGAAATTTGTTTTCATGATTTATTCTGCCTTATTTTTATGGAGTCGTGTCTTTCTCAGCATCCACTACTTAGTTTAGACTCTGTTTCTTCCTTTATAATAGTCAATAAGACACTGGGCGTGCCAGACTACCCTCAAAAAGGCAGCCTTTCAGAAAACTTCAGAAGAATTTTTAGCTGATCACTCCACACACTGCCTGTCTAATCTCCTGTCAAATCTTTGTTTTCTTTGTCTCCTCCTCCTCTAGGTCCTCAAATTTGCCTTTAGTTGAGGTTCTTTTCATGTCATTCATTCATTTGTTCATTCAAAGAAAATGCATTAAAGGTCCATCTGTAGCCAGCTCTGTCCAATTAAGTAAGTGTAGGCTCTCGCTGCAGGCTCTGCTTCTGAGCTGTGCACTGGGCCAACTCTTCTTTTTCTTCAGCTACCCAGTGTCCCCAACTGGCTTCCCCAAGTTACTTCCCCATCCCAAATGGGCTGATTGTGCACAGTCTCACCCTGCTTATCCAGTTCCTTAATTTTTAAAAATCATTCACTGTTTATTCTAATGCTCAAATCACTTTCCTCTGAAATGCCTGTGTTTTTTCTTTGAAACAAAACACTGCAATCGATCATCACATTGAGTTGGATGTGTATGTGACTAATAAGGGCTTATGCTGGAAATACGTGTTCAACTTGATGAAATAATAGATTTCTTCTTTCTGAAGACTTTAAAAAATATTAAGAATCCCTAGAATGCATCTCAGATGCTGCAGAAGAAATGTGGGCTGTCTTTGGAATCGTCTAACATTGGGTTTAAATCCAGGCCTTACGATTGGGTAGCTGTGTGGTTTTGAACAGTTTACTAACTCTCTGTAGGCTCATGTTATCATCTGAAAAATGAAGGTAATGATTTCCATCTTGCAGAGCTGCTGCTATATTAGAGATGATATGTGTCAAGTTCCTGGCCCATAATAGGAATCGATAACTGGTAGCTTTTGGCAGATTACACTCAAATCTGTAAAGAAGCTCTGGAAGAAAAAGACAGGTAGGATAGGAGACTAAAACCACTGATGAAATTAAATTTACCTAGAAGGTGTTGTTATTTCTATTGTCCCTACGGTTCGTTTTCATGAACAATTGAGCAGATTTGCTTGCCCAGGAAAGCCTCGAAGCCCTCTGTGTAGATTCTGGATCTTGCCCTGGATTGTGTGTGTGATGACTTACGGAGGGGCTCACACCTTTAGGAGCAGGGCTCTTGACATGGAGAACTTCAAAACCGAGGTAAACATCCTCCCTGGAGCAAAGGTGCAGTTTGAGCTTCATTACCAGGAAGTGAAGTGGAGGAACCTGGGATCCTACGAACACAGGCTTCACCTGCAGCCGGGACGGCTGGCCAAACACTTGGAGGTAAGCATGGACTTGCGGGGTGCGCAGTGGTGCCATGCTTACAGCTCCTCGACCCAGTGGAGACTTTCTGGTGGTCAACGCTCTTTGTGGTGTTTGATGCCACTCAACTCAGCAAGACAGTGTGGTGCCCTGGAAAGATTATAGGTGGAGTCCCCCAGGCCTGTTACTTACAGATTTCCATCCTTATTAGCTGTGATAGTTTCCTCGGGCTGCTCTAACAAATGACCCCACACTGGGTGGTTGCAAACAACAGAAATTTAGTCTCTCATGTTTCTGGAGGACAGACTTTGAAATCAAGCTGTTGGCACAGCTGTTCTCCTACAGGCTCTGGGGAGAGTCTGTCCCTTGCTCCTTCTGGTGTCTGGCAGCCACAGGCATTCCTTGACTTGTGCCTCACAGCCACACCATTCCAGTTGCTGTCCCTGTGCCAGCATCTCCTCCTCTGTGTTTCTCAAAGCGCCCCCTGCCTTTTTCTTACAAGAACACTCGTCATTGGATTTAGAGCCCACTGCATGGGACAGAATGGTCTCACTCCATATTCTTACCTCAATGGCATCTGTGAAAGCCCTTTTTCCAAGTAAGGTGTAACATTCACTCCCTCCAGGAATCTGACATAGGCCACTATTCAACTCACTATGCTGGGACAGGTCATCCTGAATGCCCATTTCTCATCTGTGAAAAACTCACTCTAACATATTGTCTACATAACTTAGGGACACAGGTGGCAAGTGACAGGAACTCAGTGAATGTTGTCTTCCTCTGCCACTCCATCCCCTACCACTCTGAACTCACCTTTGTTGTTATGTTCACCTCACACCTTAAGAACTGAGACACTCTTTTCTTGGCTCAAATCTTTGAAACATCACATGAACATTTTGTGTAAGAGGCAGAGTAGAGCCAGACAAAAGCCAGGAAAGTGTACAGCCCAGCCTGCCTCTCCAACTGATGGATAGGAAACTGATGCAGACAGGTTGTGAATTGCCCAGAGACACAGACCATTTAAGGGAACCAGTTGATCACACTGGAATTTTTATTCCAATTTGAAAAACTTCATATCTGAACAATAAAAACACTTCCTTTTTGATGTGCTCTGTGTGGCATTAGTTTAGCTATCAGGGTATATGCTGTTGAGTTCTTTTCAGAGCCCCTCCTGGCACAAAGAGCACCTCCATGAGAGTAGTAGTAGTGCCATAACAGGGCACGTGACTTGGCAATTAGGTTATGAGCTGGATCTCAGCCCCTCCTGCAGCCCTGGCCAGATGGACAACTCAATATGTGAGCCTGGTTATTTTTCCAGGGGTGGCACTGAATGTGTGCTATTCACCCACTTTCTCTTGTTTGATTCTCTGAACCCCTTGGTACAAAGTAGGAGCAGCAGTTAGATGTGATTAGCATCTCACTATAATGATGTAATTGTTGAACTTGATAATAATAATAATATTAATAAAACTGAGTTAATGATGTGAAAATGCTTGTCTTCTATAATGTTTTGGGCAAGGTATTCATATGTGTTATAAGTCATTGAATTCTCACCAGAGTCTTAAGGTAGCTATGATTAGCCCTGATTTATAGATGTGTATAAACAACTTGCCTAAGGTCACAGAGCTAAAACAATCAAGGTTTGAGTCTAGGTCTGACTGCATCTAAAACTACATTCTATACTATAAATCCAAGAATTTGAGTCTGGGCCCATGAAGATAATGATTCTTAACACATGTATTGGGTAGCACATTAATCTTGTATTTCTGAAATTTTTCTTCATCCTTAAATTTCCCATGCTCTTAGGAATTCTTTGCTTTTAAAATAGGACAGAGTTTTAGTATGTTAGGGTGTTAAGCAAGGTGGCAAGTTTCTTGAGTTCTGGCCCAGTATTGGCACTGACTAGCCATGGGATCTGGGTGGTTATGCTCTCTGGCCTAAACTTTCTCATCTGCAAAATAAGAGGTTGGCATAGGTGATTTTTAAGGTACTTTGGCTCTAATATTCTATGAAATGTACCCATTTCCAAAGAGGTATGTTCTTATCCAGAGATAAATGATGGAGAAAACATAAAATTACAGAGCTTCTTCTTGTCTTTATTCCAGAAAACCTTTCTAGTCACTGTAGAAGGGCCACTAAATTGGAAACACATCTCCCTCACTGGAATTGGGGAGAACACATCTCTTTTTAAACAACCCTGAATGTTTGAAATCTTGGGAAAATTCTTTATTCCAATACTTGCCCTCATTACAGAAAGACCAAAAAATATGGCGAGTGACTCAAGGCCACTGTGAGCTCATTCCAACCTCCCAGTGGAACCAGCTGCAGGGCCTCAGGCACGCACCTGCAAATGCATGGTGTCCCAGCAAGTCCTACGAGGTCTTAGTGCTATGTCTGCATCAAGTTGAACATAGGACTGCTCAGAGCTTCTGTGACCCCCATGAAAAGGCCCTCCTTCTGTTTTGATCCTCCCATGGACACACTGATTTTGTCCTGAGTGCCCCCACACTCATTTCTAGACAGAAGCTTATGGAAGAATGAAAGCGGGAGCTCCAATTCTCTGCAACTCACCCAGACCTTTTTTTTCCTCCCTTCCGAGAGCTACTCAATCATCTACTAGTGATGGCTGGATTAGACTTTCCCAGGACACATGATTGCCCTGACTGTACATAGTTTAGTTCATACCATTGTGGAGAATCATTTGATCTTTTGGAACTAATGGGAATCTTGGAGGCAATTTAAGTTCACATCTTATACTGAAATTTTTAATAACCAAGAAAGAAACTGTTAGACATCTCTAACATTGCTCTGCTTAGACAAGTGTCCATGACTTTAGGAAAACAGATTAAAAAAAAAATAAGAGAGAAGGTTGGCATGACTCCGAAGCCAGAAACTTACAAAGATGAGCTACCTCATTATCACTGTGAGGGAGAAGCAGTCAGAAAACCAACAGATGCACAGGGATCCATCTGGTGATCTCCCAGTTAAGCTGGTGTGTGCAAAAGGTGGGGGTGATCTCATGGAAAACAGCATATTGTGAGAAAAGCTAATGAATTGGGTGGCAGTGTCAACTCAAAGGATGGCGTGGATACTGTTGAACGCCAAAAAGCAGTGGATGAAGCATTGTGAATTGGGTCCTGGGTTTGAAGCCTGACTCGGCCACTTTACTACCTGGGTCACTCTGGATCTCTTTCTTCATGCATAAAATGAGAAATAACAAATAAGAACAATACAGATAATCATAATCATAATATTGGTGAGAGTCAAATGAATTCATACATACGAGTGCTTAGCAGAACACTTAGAGTCTAGGAGAGAAATGCCAGCTACAGCTATGGTTTTGCCAAGGATCACCCAAACAGATTTCCTCCTGCTTAGCTATGTTCAAAGTAAGAAGAAGGAAAAGGAATAAAAAGGCCCAGGATGTGGGGAAAATGGCCTATTATTGACAGATCCACAGAGTAAGTACAGAATCATTTAACAACAGCTTGCCTTCTTTTTTTCCTAACAACATGAATTTTCTTATAAATAAAAAGAATAGAATAGGGTAGAGAAGGGGAGTTCAATCTCAGAGGAAATAAGCAATAAAGGGGAGTACTGAGCTGCCCAGAGGGTCTTCAGCCTCCACAGCAAGATGAATCATATCCCTTGGAATTTAGAGAACTGACTGTGGAACCATGTTGGGTCATCTTTGAGAAAACCTGAAGCCAAGAAAAACAGCAGAGGACTTAGTAATTGTACTTCTTGCTCAGAAAGACTTGAAAGGTATTTTGATGCTCTGAGTCATTATATTTTCTATCTCTAGGTAGATGTGTGGATTATTGAGCCTCAAGGAATGAGGTTTCTTCATGTTCCTGACACATTTGATGGCCATTTCGATGGTGTTCCAGTCATATCTAAAGGACACCAGAAGGTACCCTATGTACAGCATGTGGCAAAGGGTCTAGGTGGCCACTAGGGTCTGGGTGCTGTTCTTCTGCTGGGCCCTGGGGAACAGAAGAGAGACCAGGTGTGCAGCTGAAGGTTCTGCATGAAGAACTGATCCCTGAGCAAAGACCAGGGCTTCCACAGGACAAACACAGCCAAACTCCCAATTGTTTCATTGCATGCTGACCACTGACTGTCCCTTTTGAAGCCTATTTCCTCCAAGTGGCCAAAAGGCAGCTTTCACATACTGTATGATGATTTTCATAATCATAGCAAGAGATATTCAGCTGAATTCTCTCTGCCTTTGCCAATAATAATCAACTATGGAGGGTCAACTCCTCTAAGGACCTTAAACAAACTCTTTCTAGAGTTGGTAGCCATTTCCTCCATGGGGGAGGGGAGGAATTCTTTGAATCTCTTGAAAAGACCTGAAATCTGGCCAGCAGCTCCCCAGGCTGGCAGACACTCTCCTCACATGCCCCGGACTGGCCTTCCATTGGTAACAGAACTGCAGGCACCACCTGGGAGCATGGCCACTGGGCAATACCTCTTTACCTGTGTGCTCGAGAAGGTGCGGCTGTCAACCCCTCACCTGAAGAGGGGCAGGGCAGACACCGGGCCTGACATCACCGTTTTTTCCAGGCACACATCTCCTTCAAGCCCACAGTTGCACAGCAAAGAAAATGCTCCAGCTGCTCAGAGACTGCGGTGGATGGGGAGCTGGTGGTGATGTATGACGTGAACAGAGAGGAGAAGGCTGGTGAACTTGAGGTGAGTGAAAACAGAGTCCAGGAGAACCACCATGCTGAGGCCAAAGGACTGTGTTCCTGTTGCAGAAACTCCCAGGCTTCTGGGCAGTTCCCAGCTGCCCAGGCAAGTGTTGAATTGCAGAGAAGGACTAGAATCCTGTATCTCTACATGTCACTATGCATTCTCTTTTCATGTCAAGAGAATGGAAAGAAGGGTCCTTGGGTCTCTTCTTTGGGTCTCCTTGGGAAAATGGCCAAGCAGGGGCTTGGAGTAATCACCATGGCCCTTTGCAACTGGCCATATCAAACAAGCAGAGAGGTTGTGGGGCAGGGTAGTGGAACAGCCAAAGCCCAGAGAAAGATCTGGACTAGTGGTGAATTCAGGGTCAGTGTTCCCTGTGAGATGTCTTGAAAAGATTTTGCTCCCTTTTGTTGTGTCTCAGCTGTGTGTCTGTTTGCCTCTGTGCTAAGGTAAGAGCCCTGAGGGGGTATCCCAAGCCTGTGCTTCTCTCAGGAACAGGGAGGAAGGGACATGTGTGCAGCTGCACTCCCTACAGCTAGACTCCTACTGTCCTGGGAGCAGCAACAAAGGGCAGTGCCCAGAGAATTAGGGGAGGAATCCTTGAGCCTGAGAAAGGCAGAGAGGGTGATCAGGAATCCATCTCGTGGCCACACACCGACAAGAACAACACAAACTCCCTGGAGTGTGCAGGACTGTCCTGCTGACCTGCCCTGCTGATTTGCACCCTAATTCCTTTAATTCTTATGTCTATTGCCCCATCATGCTTAACCATTCATGGCGCCACCGTTTGGAGCTCTTCTCCCCTCCCCTCCCACCCTGGCACCAATTCCACTGCCAGCCTCACTCCAAACTCAAGCTCAAGTCCAACGCAGATGCCACGTCCTTTGTCTGAGAGAGTGGCCCCTCGCTGGGTCCGCTCGGAGCCCTTCCTGTGCCCACGCAGCACCTACAGCCTGTGCAGCGGGCACAGAGGGGGCCACGGCGGAAGCCAATCCTCGAGGCTTCACCCGCCATGCCTGCCAGGTTCTCAGCATTGGGAATGGTGTGATTCACAAATACGTCTTGTTTTCCAGGTATTTAATGGCTACTTTGTCCACTATTTCGCTCCTGACAACATGGACCCGATTCCCAAAAACATCCTCTTTGTCATAGATGTTAGTGGCTCAATGTGGGGGATAAAAATGAAACAAGTAAGTACCCCCTGATGGCAGTGTGCACGGGGCTCCCCACCTTCTCTGGTCTCCTCTGGGGAACACACGCACCTAGTTCACCTTCCACCTTAGAGACATCCAGTCAGCGGGCGGGCTGCCACCGCAAAGTACCACAGGTTTGTCAGCCACAGACATTTGTCTCAGCATAAACCGCCTCTCCCTCTGATCCCTCTGTAACTGTAATTGTAATTCAGTCTTTTGCTTCTTCTGCATAGCATTTTAGTTTAACTCTTGCCACTGTTCATGAGTAATTTTGAAATCTTTGTATGCATATTTTTCTAATTATATTGTAATTCCTTAATGGTGGCCATCATGTCTCATGCCTTCCAGTTTGGAGTTCAACATAGGCTTATGCAGCATTAAATGGAATAAATTCAATTCTAAGAACAAACCAGGACATTCGTATTTTATCCATCAGTCCATCCATCCAAACAACCTGAACAACCAATCATTCATTCATTCATTCATTCAGTAACAACCACTTATGACCACCTGTGTTAACTACTGTTCCAGAATCAAAAAAAAAAGAAAGGAAAAGACATGGCTTCTGCCCCCACACTCATTTATACTCCAGTACCAGGTTTCTCAGCAGTGGCACTGTTGACCTTTTGGACCAAATAAGCCTATGTTGTAGGGGCTGCTCTGTATATTGTAGGATGTTAGTAGCATCCCTGGCCTCTACCACTAAGGGAACCTCTCAAGATCCCCCTCAAATCTGGGATCTTTAACATAAAATCAGTCATCAAAGTGATGATGCATAACAAAACAGACAGTAAAAGTTTGAAAATGCAGATAATACATGTCCAGAATGAGGGAGGGAGAGCTTTGTGTTGACAGAGGCGGATCCAAGAGGTTCTGAAAGAATTCTAGCTTATGTCAATACTTAATTGGTGACTGGGATGAATTCTTGGTCTTTCTCCTTTCTTCTTAGAGCTTACAGTGAGACCCTCCTTCTCTTCCCAAACAGACAGTGGAAGCCATGAAGACCATTTTGGATGACCTAAGAGCTGAAGACCAGTTCTCTGTGGTGGATTTCAACCACAATGTTCGAGCCTGGAGAAATGATCTAGTCTCAGCTACCAAAACACAGACTGCAGATGCAAAGAAGTATATTGAGAAAATCCAGCCCAGTGGAGGTGAGTGGGTTTAGACTAGAGCCCCGTGAGAACTTCCAGAAGTTTCAAGTCTTGTTTCACTTGAGACACAGTGGTCTTTGCCCAGTCTGCAATGGTCTGCCTTACATAACACATTTATTATTATAAATAGGTCAATATTAAGTTCATGGTGAAAGTATAGCACATGAGCCATCCCACATGTTTTTGACCATTCCAATCTTCCTCAGAAAAGGATGTCAGTAACTGACAATGGCCTTCTTATTGCTTGCGGAGCAGGAAATGCAACTAAACAGAACAGAACAGCATCCCGGTATATGAGCTGACTTAAGTACCTTCTATTTGGTATTTAACAAAATGGCAGGATGCTGCTTTGAAAGGTCTAATTTATTTCTAAGGGAATAGCTTCCTACAAAGTGAATATTTTACTCCACTGGGGGATCTTGACCAGCCTCAGCAAAATTTGTGTCACTTAGAAAGTAACTGAATGATTTGGGTACTGAATAAATTATGCATGAGTAATCACCAGACTGATGAACCAGAACCCAAGATGCGTCTGTTTCTGTGCAAAGGAAGGGTACATAAAAGAACAGCATACTGTATTACTTGACCAGGCACAAATATCAATGAAGCACTCCTGCGGGCCATCTTCATTTTGAATGAAGCCAATAACTTGGGATTGTTGGACCCCAACTCAGTCTCGCTGATCATTTTGGTCTCTGACGGTGACCCAACAGTGGGCAAGTATCTCTTCAATTCTCTAGTGAAAAATATTTTTACTGTTGTTTCTTGGGAACATGATTTTGTTTAAAATGGGAACTTGAATGGCATTTGCTTGTATTTCTACACACACCACTTGAAACCCATGTTTCCAAAGCACTCACCTCCCCTTAAAGCAGCCCTGAGACATTTTTCACTGATGCTCTCGAATGTCTCAGTATCACTTCTACAACACAGGGAAAGTCTAATTGAATTGTAAGAGTCTACTGTGAGGATTGCTGATACACACTAGTGAAATGCATTTATTTCAAGTTAAAGTGGGTGAGACAGCGTACAGGAGTATGTGTGTGCACTGTTTCTCTCAGGCCTCCAGAGCCCCCTCTGAAATCTGCAGGCACATGTTCTTCCATCATGCTCCACATTTCCCCAGTTACTCACTGTAGTAACTGGAGAAATTCCTTCTCTCTGATACAAATACATCCTACATACATCAACCTTTACCTTGTTTTCCTCCTTTTAAAAGTCTGTCTTTGAGATCATTCAATATAAATACATCAACACTTGTTCTTTTTCATAGCTGCATATTATTTCACAGTTTTGCACCATAATTTAACCAGTCTCCCTTACTGGTGTACATTGAAGCTGTCTGTAATATGTTCCTATTCCCAATAATGTTGCCATGTACTATTGCCCATACTTCATTTCCACACATATGAGTGCATCATAGTCACTGTGTCAAAGCATAGGTATGTTTTTAATTTTGACAAATTTTAAGTCTTCCATGGATTTAGACCATCTTCCATGGATTTTCCAAAAACTTTCTAAAACTGCCTCCACATTCCTTTCCTTTCTGCCATCATCAACTTTAGGTGAACTAAAATTGTCAAAAATCCAGAAAAACGTGAAACAGAACATACAAGACAACATCTCCTTGTTCAGCTTGGGGATAGGATTTGATGTTGATTATGACTTTTTGAAGAGACTGTCCAATGACAACCGTGGAATTGCTCAAAGGATTTATGGGAACCAGGATACTTCTTCTCAGCTCAAAGTAATAACATGATTTTCTGTTCTTTTTTTCCTCCTTTACTCAAAATCATTCAATTGGCATAATGTGATGCCTAAAAATAAAATGGCTGAATTTAAGTCAAAGTTATCATTTTTTCAGCGATTTTTGGTCCCAGGAAACAGGACAGTGTTTGTTTCATTCTCGTGTACCCCACCCTATTGTAGATTTGCATTAACAGTGAGGTGAGAGACAGGAAGTCACAGGGTACCACGTCCTACACCCTGAACAAGTCTTCCGAGGAACTAGTAAAGTTCCAGCCCCACTATGCAATGTCCTCCCCATCACCAAGGCCACCGGCTCCCCTTTAAAATGCATTGGCATCTTAGATATCAACTTTTTATAATGCAACACAGATCAAACTATAGCCTATATATTTCCTTAAGTATAAAGGAGATGAATTACTTGTTTACTTTGACTAAATAGACAAGAAAAAGATGTAAGAGAAGAGCATAGTTTACCCCCCCATCTGTCAATACCAGTTACCATGTATCTATGGCAGGCACCATATTTGAACTTAGGGACAGATAAGGGATAAGGTTCTAATTTAGGAATATCAACCCAGCTGGCTGTTCTTATTATGAGTATCCATGAGTTTTTCATGCAGGCCATAACAGAAGAAAAATTGCTGGGTTCTTAAGTCAAAGGCTGTTATCTTAAGCCTTTATTTTCTCTTAGTTCATCTGATAATTATGAGAATTTTCCTTGTCCCGTAGCTTTCCACAGAGATCCTGTGAGAATAAATTAAGAGAGATCTGCTAAGGACATTTGAGGACTCTCAGCCAAAAGTGCCTTAGACTTACAAAGTGGTTTGAAAATAATAATTTCTGTTTTGTTTTGTTTTGTTTTTAATGAACTGTAGAAATTCTACAACCAGGTCTCTACTCCTTTGCTCCGGAATGTTCAGTTCAACTATCCCCATATGTCAGTAATGGACGTCACTCAAAACAGTTTCCATAACTATTTTGGAGGCTCAGAGATTATGGTGGCAGGAAAAGTTAACCCTGATAAATTGGATCAATTACAGAGCATTATCACAGCAACTTCGGTACTTTGGCTTTTCTGCTTATTCTAAAATTACTAATTGGTCCCCTTTATATAGTCCATCTTTCATATTAACAGGCTACTATTCTGAATTCTGAGAATCTTGTATGTAGAACAAAAGCAGTAAGTAAAAGGGAAGGCATGGAATCTCTATGCTATCTTCCCAACTGTTGTGTAAAGCCCTACCCTTTTCATCCCAAGGCCAATCCCCAACTCTGGAGGTATGCTCGTACTTCCTCTTTGGTGTCCTTTTGAATTGTTTTGCATTCTCCTGTTAGTTGCTTACTGCCCTGATTCACTCACAAGTACAAAAAATGTGAATTAATTATAATTCTCCTTCCCTCGTGTCTTTCAACTGAACTTTCCATTATCCAGGCTAACACAGAGTTAGTCTTAGAAACTCTGGCCGAAATGGACGACTTGGAGGATTTTCTATCAAAAGATAAGCATGCAGATCCTGACTTCACCAGGAAACTGTGGGCCTATCTGACAATCAACCAACTTCTAGCTGAGAGGTAAGAAGAACAGAGTATATACAACAGGGATTTATAAAAGGGAAAGGTTTGCCTTGAATGTTTGAAGTAATTCACAAAACAACTTTGAACCAGGAAATACAAATTACATCAGGCTTTGGAATACTAATTTCCCCTGGTGCCAAACACTTTGATTAAAGTTAGGCTCACTTTTTTTTTTATTGAGGCATAACATACATAAAATGTGTGAAGTGCATGAATTTTAAGCAGTTTAATACATTTTTACAGACAACTCCCATGTAATCACTGCCTAGATCCACACTTCTATCATCTCTGAAGGGTCCCTTGCTCCATTCCACTCAACACCTGCCTGCAGGAGTATTCTGACACCTGTAACCCTCAGTTTTATGAGACGAAATTTCATTTAATGATGCAATCTGCATTCTTTCCTTTCTGGCTTCTTTCACTGAATATGATGTCTGTGAGATTCATCCTGAGTTTACTGGCATTAACCTATTGTCCAAAGAGGAATCTGAGATTATGTGATGATACCACATGGGTGGGGGGGGTCTCCCTAATAGTTATCTATTTCTTTTCTGGCTTTTCAGCTTACCTGCATCTCTAGATTACCATACAGTTCTTTGACCTCTTATATCAGGGTGTCTTGCCAATGGGTTTCAGCCCCAGGCAAGTTTGCTATGGATTCAGTGTGACCAAAAAAAATGATAGCAAAACGTTCTTGGGGTGAAAGGGTTATATCCAAGTTTACTTCCAGGTGGCAGGTCAGTCACTAGAATCCCATTCACTCAGAGCGAGTCTGCAGGCAGCAAGCCTGTCTCTGCCTCTGGGCTCCTCTGTCAGCACAGCCGTCCTCTGGGCCTCTGTCCTCGTTGCTGCCACCACTCCAGCCTCTGCTCTGCTCTCCTGCAGCCTTGCAGCTGTGCCACCATGTCGTGCCCAGAGCACTGGGCAGAGCTCTTCTTATAGAGTCAACAGCCTTGTATTGCCCACAGGTGTGCAGTGAGCTAGTCAACCAGAGCCAGGTGAGAATCCTGGCCAAAGGAACTCTCATTTTATCCACACAGGGTTATGTGCAGGTGTTGGATGAGATTGTTACCACTCCTGAGCCCCATTCCACTTATTAGATTAGATTCTCTAGAAGATGGAATGGGGTCATCTGGACTAGGCTGGGCAAAATGAAACACAGTTGTGTAACTGTACTCACAGAGAAAATTCGTGATGTCAATAGGATTCTAAAACAGACACAAGCTGCAGTGGCAGCTTTGAAGTGAGAAACAACCCTGCCCCTTCACAGCAGTACACTGAGTACATTTAAAGATATAGGGCAAATTGCTGTAGAAGTTTAACACTGATCTTAAAAGAACAACCTGTAAAACAGATCAGTAGTTGCCAGGAGGTTAGGAGGGCAAGAAGGATGAATAGGTGGAGTACAGAGAAGTTTGAGGCAGTGTTGTCACTCTGATGTTACTGTAATGGTAGGTATGGCATTGTTCACACCCACAGAATGTGCAACACCACAAATGACCCCTAGTGTCAACTGTGGGCCTTGGGTGACAATGACATGTCAATGCAGGTTCATCACTTGTGACAAATGTTCCTTCTGGTGTGGGAGGTAGATAGTGGGGAGGCTGTGTGTTGCAGAGACAGGGCGGTAATGGGAATTCTCTGTACTTTCAGCACAATTTTGCTGTCAACCTAAAACCACTCTAAAAAATAATGTCTATTTTAAAATTCCTTAGGACTGCCCGACTAGATAAAATATGTTAGTCCTGTTTTACCTTGTGGTCCCAGGTTTACCCAGAAATGGTGGGGTATGGGACTTTCATTCTGCCTTAAATACAGTAATGCTCTCCAACATCTCTACTTCCTGAATACAGAAGCCTGGCTCCTTCAGCTGCAGCCAAAAGGAAAATTACAAGAACAATCCTGCAGATGTCTCTGGATCATCACATCGTGACCCCGCTCACTTCGATGGTGATTGAGAACGAAGCAGGAGATGAGCGCATGCTGGCGGACTCGCCTCCGCAAGATCATTCTTGCTGCTCGGGTCAGTGTTTCTAGTTCGTGGAGAAAGATTCGGGTCAGCTTTCTTACCCTGCCTCCAGGCCTCCAGCCTCTGCTTTGCTGCACTTCTGTGCCCTGTAAGCCCAAGTTCTTCCCATGGATTGACTTTGCAGATGGTTTATTGCTGTGGTCCCCCAAATATTTGTTCATGTGTCTCCCAGAACAC